TGCAACTTGTTGTTATTTTCAACACATGGCTTCATGGCTTTTATTGTGGATCAATGATCGAGCTTTAAGCATTTTTGTAAGATTTGCGAGAAAGGGTTCCAGTGTGGGAGAGCTATGGTGGGCATATGAGGGTACATGGAATCTGCCACGAACGGTAGCCTTGACGACGACGTTGCTAACGATTGGGAGAAGAAACCCTGAGAGAATTTGGCACATAACAACAAGCCTATGTATTCGCCGAGGACGTACTCTAATAATTTGAAGAGTTGTAGGGTTTATGAGAATTGCGGGAAAGAGTTCTCGTCGTGGAAATCTTTTATCAAGCACGATAAGTGTAGATCAGACAACGTCAAATCACTCATGTCGTCTCCGACCAGGTCGGCCGACAAGATAAGAGGGTATGGTAGGGGTTGGTCTAAAAGGAATAGATTGTCAAGAGCTGAAACGGGCGATTTCGATAGTGAAGAGGAAGATCTCGCGAATTGCCTTATGATGTTATCGAATACGGTGGTTCATCCATTTGTGGCTGACGTTGAGGCAGAGGAGTCTTGTGCTTCAGACAACAAATAAGAGGATGCCAAAAGGAATACAATGAATTTACATGCTCCTATTGCATGTAGGGTAACCATAGAGAAACCCAAAGGCCTTGCCAAAGGGGTATTCGAGTGCAAAATATGCAAAGAAGTGTTCAATTCACATCAAGCATTGGGTGGACATAGAGCAAGGCATAAGAAATTTAAGGGATGCTTTGCAGCCAGGCTCGATCATATCGATAACACTGAAGTTGTCGTCAACAACCACAAAGTCATCACACACGAAAAAATCCTCCCGACAAAATTGACTACCACTTTCCACTTCGATCAAGGAACTAGCACTCTATTAGCCCCCTCGATGTCAAAAAGGAAATCGAAAGTACACGATTGTTCCATCTGTCGTCAGTTGTTTTCTTTGGGATAAGCATTGGGAGGGCACAAAAGTTGTCATTGGGTCACTTCAAACATTGCATGGAACACCCCAACCCGTACCCGATTCGGGTACTCGTCCGAGATGTCACATTAACTTTTAAAAACAATATTCTTACAAAATAACAAAACATTTGAACTTATTTTAAGAAAATACGATCATATATTGTTCAATTGTGTTTGGTATAAAATTTTGAGGTAAAAACATATTTATGAACAGTAAAATACGATATGAACAATACCTTATGAACATTGATGAATAATGATGAACAGTTCCCTGTTACAGTACCCCGAATGTTAAAATTTCCGGATTACAAATAGGTAACCGATTCCCCTGCTATAGTACTACTACAGTACTTCTGTAAAATACGTATAAATTCATAAAATTTAAAACGTTCATCATCTTTCATTCACCATTTACAAATATATGTTTAAAACTAAAACATATCGGATTCAAATATTTGTTTGCATGCCAACCACTATAAGTATTACAAAATACATATTATTAATTTCTTTTTTGATCTGATCTTTGGAAAGGAGGAACAAACCTGTCTTGTATAACTTTTATCAATATTCTCTTTTTCGCTTTCCAAACTTACGTGTGAAACAATCACAAGCTAAGTCGATGACTTAGTGAAGCATATAAACATATAAACATATAATGGAAACCATAAAACATTTCATAAAGAAATACACTTAACATCATATAATTCATATCAAATGCGTGAACATTTATTGCGATCATATCATATAAAACATATATCATTTCTATAACATATCCCACATGCACATATATCCTTATCAACACGTTTAACATTTTATATTCATTATCATTAATCCTTATAATTTAATAATCTTATACATAACGTATCATGCATTAACAAACCAACACACCATTATATAAATCCTGTGATCTATTCCATATAACAATTCACATATACATGTCACATTCAGTATATTTGTTTAATCTCTTTATTAGCCCATGTACACTGTTGAGAACTGAATGTATGTAAGTACATTGAGGTTGTGCACTAATGCTGTCACCACAACTCGTATAAGTCTCACTGAGTGGCATATGAAATTTGTCCCAAAGGACCACTGTATTGTCCCAAAGGACCACTGTATTGTCCCAAAGGACCACTGTATTGTCCCGAAGGACCTATGAAACCCTCGACTCTTGGCATGTCAACTATACCTATAGCTCTCGTATCATATAACATGGGCATTATTATTTATCATTTCACATATTCATATAAGCTCGTAGCTTCATTCACATATGTATGTAATCATGTAGTTTCTTTCATGTAATTCATGTCATTTTTCATATGAATTCATATTCATATGTCACATAGTTCATATCACTTTGCATGGATTCATATAAACATATATATCATTTGTGTTTCATCACTTATTCTCATATCATATAACATGCTCTATCCTCTTATGTTCACATGACATATAATGCACACAAATTTTATTCAAATATGTCTTTACTCATGAATTCATACATCCTACAAATCATGTCATCTCTTGTTCTCATATGTTTCCAATACATTACATATATCAATAGTGCAATTTCATGTAAACATGTAAATCATGTAGTATATATATATATATATATATATATATCCATTTCTATATACTAACACACACATAATAATCACATAACATTTTAAAAGTTACTTCTTACCATAGTAACTCTATCATTGGCTCATCGCAAGCCAATGTTTTTTCAAGAACCTAAGTACAAAATAAATTGCACTCACCTTAGCCTTGCTTTGCTTCAATACTAATCATTTGATTATTCCGGAACTTGTTTAGGCTCAATATCTACATAAATATAACATTTCAAAACAACTATCAGAAGCCTAAACCTTAAACTTGATGTTGATAACTTAAGCCGGTTTAATGAACCAAAATTCCATTTTTCATTTAGGGGGAATCGATACTCCCCTCAGGGGGGAATCTGTACCCCCTGCACAATCTGGAATTTTCGTTCAAGCTCAGAAAATTACTGTTGATGCACGAAAATTCACTATAACAACTTAAATTCTTCATGTTTCATTCTCTTTCATATTCTTAACTCAAATATACATACTTAAACTAATTTATATCCATTTATTTCATCTTAAACCTCAAAATTCTATTCTCCATGTAGAAATCAATAATCATACCAAATGTTCCATGTTATCCAAACTTAATTCTAACACTTCTAACATCTTATTCTCATAGATGACAAGTCAAATTCAACTTATCAACTCTATTTCAAGATTTCATTCAATAACTCAAAATCTTTAATCTCTCCTATACCTTTCATCTTATTGTTTTAGAACAAATTAAGTTTTCCTTAAGCTTAATTATCATCTAATGATCAAAACTCAACCTTTAATTGAACAAATAATCAAATAATGAAGAAACTTACCTTTGCCTTTGAGCTCTTACGGGAGAAGAAAGAAGAAAGAAAGAAGATGAAATGTTTTCATCTTTCCGCGTTTTTATCTCCTATTCAAGGGGATAAAATATCTTTTATTGTCAATTGACCATTTTGCTCTTTAATTATTTGGATAATTACTAACAACTTTCAGAAAATATCCCCAAATAAATCATTTAACTATTCAACTATTCTACTTTTATCCTCAAATTTCGAAATTTTATAATTTAGTCACTAACTCGGTATTGAGGATGTTACATTACATCAGACACTTCATCATTGGCACAACTTCATAGGTTTCAAGATCATCAAATGCAGCACATTCACCAAAACCCAAAGCTCATCGATCACAACCCTAACCAATCGCTCGATCTTAATCTTCCTGCTCGAACCAATCTCGATCTCGTTCAACGAAACCATGTGAACCCGTATTCACAGCCATGGAAAATGATCGATCCCAAAGAAAAGACAGCGATGGATAATGATCGTATGAAGAATGATTGTAGTAGGTCTTTGCAAAATGCAAACGATGAAACTGACAGTAAGGTGAAGTTAGCAAAACTAAGTGAAGTAAAAGGCATCGATGTTTTGAGTGGAGGTTATCTCCATGTCTGCAAGTTGGGATTGGTTCAACAACTAATGTTGGTTTCTAATCCTTAAAAATATTATGTGAACTAATATTTTTATTCATGTTTTTATTTTATTTCATTTCTTGTAGTAGACAATACATAATTTGTATTTATATATTTAAAAGTAACTTAGAGGTAATTATATAATCAAACATAATTTTTCATGTTAACAAGTAGTAGATGTCACGAATATGTATTGTCATTACATATATTGTTTACAAGATTAGGAATTTGAATTTGTTGGTAAGAATATATTAAATTGAGTTAGGAGAGTTGTTTCCATGATAAATTTTTATAATATATAATTCAGATTAGTCGATTATAGATAAGGATAAACATTTGGCTCGGACCCGACGAGTCTCAACCGTATCGGGTTTGGATCGATTTGAGCCATTTTTATAAGTATAATATCAGGTCAAATCGAGTTCAAGTTTAGGATGAAAAACACTATAATTTATTATATTTGTTCAACTAGGTATCTACTTTATTTAATAAAATAAAAACTTCATTCGCATATATTTGTGTTTAAACGAGTTGATTTGATATTCATCTTAAAAATTAGATCAAATTTTGAGTTAAATTAAATTTTATTAAATTTGAATCGATACGAATTATAAATAAAAAGATATCATACTCGTGTCAGATTTAAATGAATAAAAAATCCGAATACGCTCAACCTGTATGAAGCCCTAATTGCAGATCGAAATATGGATGAAAATGGTATTACGATTATCCTTGATCATAGATCGAATATAGGTTAAAGTGTTATTACAATTTCTTTTTCTTTTAATTTTTGGCGACAACACTATTTCATTCAACTCATATTTGAAGAAGTTTCCAGAAACACACCAACTACTGCCGCTTAAAATTCAATATTTCGCATTCCGAAGAATAAAAGACAATTATACCCTTAATTCTAACAGCATGACACTGTTAAATAGGGAAAAAAAAAAAGGAATCAACCACAGTCAAGCTGAGACCAAGACGAACTTCACTGTCCCACGCTCTTCCTCTCTCTTTGGAGGACCGTTCACCAGAAACCTCGCCGGAACCTGTCAGCCACTTTTTTAACCGGCGGACTTCCGACTGATCCGTTCACGATGAGCACCGGCGAACTTCTCAGCATCGAGCCTCAAGAGCTCCAGTTTCCCTGTAAGCATCTTAATAAGTTTCGCTTTGCTCTCCAGATCCATATCTTTCGTCGTTTTAAGTTTGAGTTTTCGAGTTCGTTTAACTGTTTTTTCTATTTCTTAAACGTCTCTTGTTCCTGAATTAGTTGAATTGAGAAAGCAGATCTCATGCTCCCTAACCTTGTCCAACAAGATCGATAGTTATGTGGCTTTTAAGGTGATTTTTTTAATTCTCAAATTTATTCCAGATTTTGTTAAACATAACAAGATTTTGACTCTATGTTGTGTCATGTGTGTGTATGTTTTTAATTTTGCAGGTCAAAACGACAAATCCGAAAAAGTACTGTGTGAAGCCAAATACTGGAGTTGTGCTGCCTAGGTCTACTTGCAACATTACCGGTCTCTCTCTCTTGCACAAAATTTGAACTAAGACAAATATTTTAGTTGATCATGGCTGATGTTGAATCTTAGTGGTTTATTTCCTTTTGTTTTCTTGCTGTGTTAATTTTATTGCAATTATTTGCTTTATTTTAACATTATAAGCGCTTGTTATCGTGGTGATTTATTGGTCTATTTATGATTCAGTTACAATGCAAGCTCAAAAGGAAGCACCTCTTGATATGCAATGCAAAGACAAGTTTTTACTTCAGAGTGTGATTGCAAGTCCTGGAGCTACAACGAAGGATATAACTCCGGAGATGGTACTATAGAAACTCTATTGAAGCTGATTTGAAAATTGGAGTTTTTTTTTTGGGCTAACGTTTACTTTTGAATGTGTTAGTTTAATAAGGAATCCGGGCATCATGTTGAAGAGTGCAAGTTGAGAGTTGTTTATGTTGCACCTCCTCGGCCTCCTTCCCCGGTTCAAGAAGGATCTGAGGAAGGCTCTTCACCTAGGGCATCAATTTCTGACAATGGAAGCTTCAATGCTGCAGACCTTTCATCAGTGAGTATTTCTTTGCTTTGCTCGACTTTGAATGAGTTTTTCAGTGTTCATCAATGCGTTCTTTTTCATATATCAATGAGTTGTGCTTTGGTGTTATGATTGAGCTTGCAGGTGTCAAGAACTCCTGTTGAGCGGCATAAACCTCAAGACATTTCATCCGATGTAACTTCTCTCTCTGTATTTCTTACACTTTTATTTGCACTTCTAGTCTGGTTTTCAAATTTTATGGTCCCTTGAAAGGAATGATAGGTTCCCTCAAAGCCAATGAAGTGAATGCCATTCATGATTGCGGTTTTTGTAGTTGCTTATGGTCGACCTTTTCATTTGCATAACTGGCGTAATTTAGGAATATCGTGTGATTAGTTTTCTGAATTATAAGTTGAGGGATTCATTGATTATATTGGTAATCATACTTGCTTTATGCATCTTTGGTGGAAATTTTATTGACTTTTCAGTCTATTTTCTATATCACCTGTTATCAAAGCAAGGTGCAGCTGACCTTACTGATTTTGAGTGTTAATTCACCGGGTAGTTTTGTCATCATGTTTTAATTATGGGGTTCACCTCTTTTCTCTTGGGAGGCATATCTACTTTTTACGTTCAAATCCATTTAGTTGCCACTTGCCAGAATCTTCTTGTGAGTTTGTCATTTAGTCATTTTTCTTTAAATGAATTACCATCATAGTAATGAGCATTCTCTATATTATTCCTTGAAGAGGACTATTATTCCTTGAAGAGGACTATTATTCCTTGAAGAGGACTCGAACCTCCACACTCTTTATCTCAACTGTATTTACAGGCCATACATACTTGGTGTGAAGAGAGCAATTTTAATATACCCTTTGCTGCACTAAAGAAACTTATTTTCTTGTTTAAACCCCATGGAATTCATGTTGTTTGATCTTTTTCTGTCTTTTAATTAACTTCGATGTACAGTGAGTGGGGTCCTAGTAAGAAGTGAATTATTTTCCTGTCGTAGTGGTAATTAATCAGAAATTCAGAAAAAAATGCTTCTCGTCACACCCAGCATTTGGGTATTGGAGCCAAAGCTGGATAAACTAACGCCCATGAATGCTAGCCTCCTCCAGTTAAAACTTGTAGAAGTTTGTTCATTTAAGCTGGATGGCCCTTTTAAAATCCAACTATTAGTGTTGTCTTCTTAAGTGCATTTGATGTGTGAAAAATGTATGGATGGATCTAACATGACTAGCTTTAAATGTGGCATTATCACCTTATGAGATCATAAATTCTATATATCTCATCATGCAGAGTTAATGCCTCTTGTACATGATATAATATGATAATGATCTAATTGAAATATTTTAAAAGAATCATCGCCTCTAATGACTCAAGTCAAAAGGGTGGCTGGCTAATAGTGGGAATGTTCCTTTTTTCTGTCACTGAAGCTGTTTTAAAAATCTGCAATTATCCAATAGGGAGGAAAATAAGTGTGTACATTGATGGTTTTCTGTGCCATTTTTATTCTGAAAAATGCTTCGAATTGCAGGTGAAGTCTCTCATTTCCAAGCTAACCGAGGAGAAAAATGCTGCCATTCAGCAAAATAACAAGCTTCAGCAAGATATGGTAAGTTAATCCCTATTTTCTAAGAGTTTCTTGCAGTTCACTTTGGAATTAAATCTTTGTGATCATCAACTCATAGCAAAATGGTTAAAGGTATTACGAACCAATCACTAATATACTAGCTATAAAAGTGCATCATGATGATGGGAAAAATAATAATAGATAACGTGCTCTGCAGTTCTGTAAAATGCTTCATTGCCACACATTTTAAAATTCGATCTGCAGGAACTCTTGAGACGAGATGCCAAGAGAAATCAGAGTGGTATTCCCTTCATGTACGTGTTTCTTGTCGGCTTGATTGGCATCATCTTGGGATACCTATTGAAAAGAACATGACGACCTCCGAGTTACACATTCTTTGTTGTTCTTCAATGCAACTTTCATGATGGGAAAGGTAAGTGGTAACTTATTCTGTCGAAATGTAGTATTACTTATTGTTGTGTATGGAATACTGGGAAAGGAAAAACATGTTCAATGCGTGGACGTGGAAAGAAGCATTGTTTGTTCACTGTATTACCGTGCATTGAGAGTAGAGTAGGCTTTGATCTTTCGACTATGAATTACTGGATTTCATTATTGTTTGGCCAACTCATATATTAGGTGAAACTAACTCTTTATTGCTCATGTTACGGTTAAATTCTAGAGTTTTTCTGTTCATGCACTTCGGTGGATTGGCTATAAAAGTCATTGAACGGTTTAGTCACTGAGTTTTTAAAAATTATAAAATGACCATTAAATTTGTTAGAACTGTTATAAAATAATCACTAAATTTTATCACTGTTACAATATGATCATTGAAGTTATTAAATTTTACACTTGTTATAATATTGTAGTGATATTTTTTGTATTAGTTTGATAAATTTATAATTGTTTTATAAATTAATTAAAATTTAATGACCAAAACGTTTATAGTGTATTTTATCCATAATTATTTGATATATTTATCTGATCTATTGACGGTGAATTTTTATATACATGGACAAATAGTGATGGACTAAATCCGTTTGAGGAAAAAATTATACTGGTGTATCAAATGATTTATCTTATATATATATATATAGAGAGAGAGTAAAATTTGCTTTGGTTTCTCGTTATAATTTGCTATGATAAGTGATTTTTAATACTCAAGAGACTACCTAAACTTCCGATTCTTAAATGAATTATTGGTCAGTTTTCAAAGCTAAATAAAGTGGAGAAAGAAATTGAGTTCAAAACTCAAAGCTTACGTAAATTATTCATGCAACCGCACTTAGAAACTGACGGGATCTACTCGATCTCCAAATTTCATTGTTTATTCCCATTTTTTCCTTCAAAAGATGAATTTGGCTCTAAAATATATATAACTAGGGATGGACATGGGTCGGGTTTCAGTCAATCAGACTCGGCTCGAAAATTTTATATCTTTCATCCGACCCGAAAAATATATATCCTCCTCTCAACCCGACTCGAATCCAATTTGACTTTTTGAGATATAACATGAACTCAATCCGATCTGACCCAAAATATTAAAAAATATTATTTTTATTCAATAAAAAACAATGATTTAATTGAAAAAATAATATATAGAGGGATATTATTGTAATTATTCTTAAATATATAAGGTAAAATTATAATTTTTTTCGAGTCAGATAGGTATTTTTCACCATAAACCCAAATTCGAAATGATCCGAACATCACCTTTTAAAAAACCGATCTGACTCGACCCGAACCCAAAATTTAAAAAAAAACTCCGATCTTATCGGGTCAAATCGAGTCAAGTCAGAACCCATCGATTCGACTCCCATACCCATCCCTATATATAATGTCGTCGTCTTTTATGACGTTACGTTTCTTTTATTTTAGTAGGTGATTACAAGTTATTCAAAAGGATTCTGCTATTAAATAAGTAGTTTTGGTATGTGAAGTTATGGACCAGATGAGTTGCATACAAGTATTCCATAAAGTTTAATCTAATTATTTATTATTATAAATTTATTTAATAATCTCAATGGTTAAATAACATAATTTTTTAATATAAAATACGAATAAATATTATATTATAATCATTCAATATTTTTGAAAAAGAAAATTATTTAGTATTACTGTTGGGAGTTATAAGTTGTAAAGTGGATGATGTTTAATTTAATATTTTGGTATACATGTAAACAAAATACTTGTTATTTAGTAAATAAATATTTATTTATATTGTTATATAAATATTTATTTTAGAGTTAATTGTTAATATTAAGTTCAAAGTTTGGCAACCAATTTTGAAAAAATAATTTTTAAAGTTTGGTAAATGTTTTTTTAAAAAAAATGGTTTTTAAAGTTTGGTAAATGTTTCTTTGAAAAATAGTTTTTCAAAGTTTGGTAGATGTTTGTTGAAAAATGATAATGGGATAATCACAATTAATCCCTGACTTTAGGGTATTTACAAGATTAAGTCTTTAAGTTTCAACTATAAATACCCTAGTTCATTTAGCTTCAAAATCATCTCAAATCATTTTCTCTCCCAATACTAGAGAGCTTTCTTGTGAGTAGTGAGTGTTTTGTAAACACCTGTAAATTTTCTCTCTTAGTAAAAGATCTGCAGCAGTCCGGAGACGTAAGCAAAATTAGTTGAACTCCGTTATCAATTTCGGGTATTATTTTTCCGCTTTTATTTCGCATTCTCACTAATCTGGTTATAAGGAAATTACTCGTACTCGTTTATTTCCCAACAACTGGTAATCATAGCTTTTGGTTGTGAATTTTGTCAATTTTTTACGAGGTTACTATTTATGTGAATAGTGAATTTCGTGAATAGTAAAATTTTGTCGGCGATACGAATTTGTCGACGGAAGTGTTCTAATATACGACGGTTCGCAAAAATTATCGGAAACGATCCAAAGAAGCCATATTCGAGTGAGAGCGATTACTACAGAAGAAGGGAATGTGAAAATTGAAAAGTTAGATGGTGTGGACTTTGGCTTTTAAAATATGCAGATTGAAGATTTTTTGTACCAGAAAAATCTATATCAACCTCTCTCAAGAAAGAAACCAGAGGGCATGAAGAATAAAGACTGGGCTCGGCTCGTCTCGTCAGACAAGCCCTCAGAGTTATCCGACTGACGTTATCCTGCAATGTTGCTTTCAACATTACAAAGGAAAAAACACAGCGGGTCTTATGGTGGCTCTCTCCAGTATGTATGAGAAGCCATCGGCCTCAAACAAAGTTCATTTGATGAGGCGATTATTCAATTTGCGGATGGCGGAAGGGGCATCAGTGGCTCAACACCTAAATGAACTCAACACAATCACAACCCAGTTGAGTTCTATGGAAATTGAATTCGATGATGAAGTTTGAGCTTTAATTCTCTTATCATCTCTACCAGACATTTGGAATGCTACTGTTACAGCAGTCAGTAGCTCGTCAGTAAATAGTAAATTGAAATTCGACGATGTTCGGGATCTGGTATTGAGCGAAGAAATTCGACGAAGAGAATCGGGTAAAGCATCAACCTCATCAGCCTTGCACACGGAGTCTAGAGGGAGAACTTCATAGAGAAATTCAAATCGTGGCAGATCCAAATCCAGAACGGGAAAGAAAGATTATACCTGTTATAATTGTGGCAAGAAGGGTCACTTTAAAAGAGATTGCCGAGCACCGAAGAAAGATACCGGTGCATAAGAATCTGCCAACATGACAGAGGAGACAAGTGATGCCATGATTCTAAGCGTCAACAGTCCGATTGAATCATGGATCTTGGATTCTGGGGCATCTTTCCACTCCACCCCATTCCGAGAAATCATGGAGAACTATGTCAGTGGTGATTTTGGGAAGGTTCATTTAGCTGATGATGAAATCTTGAAGATCGCCAGAAAAGGAGACATCCGATTAAAGTTGCCAAACCATACCACCTAGACGCTGAAAGGAGTAAGACATATTCCTTGCCTCAAAAGAAATTTGATTTCTATAGGGCAGCTTGATGGAGAATGATATAGCACAACCTTTTCAGGCTGTTAATGGAAGATTACCAAAGGAGCACTCATCATTGCTCGTGGTAAGAAGATTGGTACTCTCTATATAACCTCAAATTTAGATAATATCATTGCAGTAGCAGATGCTGATAGAAAATCAAACCTATGGCACCAAAGACTTGGACATATGAGTGAGAAATGAACGAAGACACTTTTGTCAAAAGGGAAGCTGCCGGATCTAAAGAGTGTAGATGTCAGACTATGCGAGGATTGCATCTTTGGAAAACAAAAGAAAGTCGGTTTTGCAAAGATTGGCAAGACACCCAAGGCAGAAAAAGTTAGAGTTGGTTCATACTGACGTATGGGGACCATCTCCAGTTTCATCTCTTGTAGGTTCATTATATTATGTCACGTTCATCGATGATTCTACAAGGAATGCATGTATTTATTTTCTGGAGAAGAAATCAGAAGTCTTTGATACTTTCAGAAAATGGAAGGCCATGGTGGAAAATGAGACTGGTTTGGAAGTCAAGCGGTTGAGATATGACAATAGAGAAGAGTACAAAAATAGAAGATTCAGAGATTTCTGCGCAAACAATGGGATCAAGATGGAGACAACAGTTCCCATGAAACCGCAACAGAATGGCGTAGCAGAGCGCATGAACAGAACTCTGAATAAACGTGCCAGAAGTATGAGGATACATGTCGGATTGCCTAAATTTCTATGGGCTGAAGCTATCAACACTATAATTTACCTAATCAACCGTGGGCCCTCAGTTCCCTTAGATGGTGGAATACCGGAGGATGTTTGGAGCAAGAAAGAAATAAACCTTTCACACTTAAGAGTGTTTGGTTGTATTTCTTATGTACACATATACTCTGCTGAAAGAAGTAAACTTGATGCTAAGTCCAACAAATGTGCCTTTGTTGGTTATGGTAGTGATGAGTTCGGTTATCAGTTTTGGGACTACGAAAATCTGAAGATCATCAGAAGCAGAGATACCATTTTCAATGAGAATGTGATGTACAAAGACAGGTCAACCATAGAATCAAGTAGCTCAAATATCGAAGCCGAAACAAAGGAATTTGCTGAGTTTGAGGAGATTTATGGAAATGATGTTCAGATCAGTCCTGAAACAGTTCAAGAAGAACCAAGCACACCATAACTAAGTCGCTCCTCTAGAATTCCTAAACCAACCTAGCGTTATTCGCCTTCTTTGCACTACTTGTTGCTGACTGACAATGGTGAACCAGAGTGCTATGATGAAGTAATACAGATGGAGGATTCAGTCAAGTGAGAGTCTTCTATGAAAGATGAGATGAATTCGCTTATGTCAAATCAGACGTGAGAATTAGCTGAATTACCACTAGGCAAGAAAACGCTCCATAACAAGTGGATTTACAGGATCAAAAAAGAGCATGATGGGAGAAAACGCTACAAAGCAAGATTGGTTGTCAAAGGTTTTCAGCAAAAAGAAGGTATTGACTACAATGAAATTTTCTCTCCAGTCGTAAAACTGTTTACAATCAGACTGGTCTTGAAAATTGTAGCTGCAGAAAATCTACATCTTGAGCAGTTAGACGTAAAGACAACTTTCCTTCACAGTGATTTGGAGGAATAAATCTATATGAGGCTGCCAGAAGGCTTCATAGAGGCAGACAAGAAAAACCTGGTATGCAGGTTGAAGAAGAGCTTGTATGGTTTAAAACAAGCTCCTAGACAGTGATACAAGAAATTCGATAACTTCATGAGTAGTAGTGGTTTTACTAGATGCCAAGCAGATCATTGTTGCTACATCAAGAGGTTCGACAACAACTTCATTAGTTTATTGTTGTATGTTGATGACATGCTCGTTGCAGGCTCAGACATGCAAGAGATTATAAACTTGAAGCAAAAATTATCGAAGCAGTTTGCTATGAAAGATCTGGGCGCTGCAGAGTAGATTCTTGGGATGAGGATCAAGAGAGACACAAAGTCGGGGGCTTTGATGTTATCACAGGCTAAGTACATCAACAAAGTACTCTCTAGGTTCAACATGCAAGATGCTAAACCAGTAAGTACACCTTTAGGTGTTCATTTTAGACTCTCTAAAGAACAATCACCAAATACGAAAGAAGAACGTACACACATGGTGAAGGTTCCGTATGCCTTAGCAATTGGAAGTATGATGTACGCCATGGTTTGTACCAGACCAGATATTTCTCAAGCAGTGGGAGCTGTTAGCAGGTACATGAATAATCCGGGCAAAGTACACTGGAAAGCTGTCAAATGGATCCTTAGATATCTGCGGGGTACTACAAACAAAGCATTTTGTTTCAAAGGTGGAGATACGATACTGACAGGCTATGTAGATGCTGACTTAGTTGGAAATGTTGACATCAGAAGAAGCACTACAGGGTATGTCTATACTCTATGAGGTACTGCAGTGAGTTGGGTTTCTCAACTACAGAAGATAGTTGCTCTCTCCATAACTGAAGCAGAATATATCGCTATTACGGAAGCCAGCAAGGAGATGGTTTGGCTCCAAAGTTTCTTGGAAGAGTTAGGCAAGAAACAAAAAAATAATGTCTTGTATTGCGACAGTCAAAGTGCTATTAATCTAGCAAAGAATCTGTCTTTTCATTCCAGGACAAAGCACATACAATTGAGATATCATTTTATCCGATCTTTTCTGGAAGATGGTATTTTGAAGCTTGAAAATATTAGTGGAGCTCAAAATCCGGTAGACATGTTGACAAAGACGGTGACCACTAATAAACTGAAGTCGTGTTCAGCTTCAGTTGGCATGCTAGAATAACAGGACCAGAAATGCTGATGTATTGGTCGAGGTGTGAAGACAGATTAAAATCAGCCTTCAAGTGGGAGATTGTTGAAAGTATTGTTAAAAGTTAAGTTCAAAGTTTGGCAACCAACTTTGAAAAAATGATTTTCAAAGTTTGGTAAATGATTTTTTTAAATGGTTTTCAAAGTTCGGTAAATGTTTCTTTGAAAAATAGTTTTTCAAAGTTTGGTAGATGTTTGTTGAAAAATGATATTGGGATAATCATAATTAATCCCTGGACTTTAGGGTATTTACAAGATTAAGTCCTTAAGTTTCAACTATAAATACCCTAGCTCATTTAGCTTCAAAATCATCCCAAATCATTTTCTTTCTCCCAATACTAGAGAGCTTTCTGTGAGTAGTGAGTGTTTTATAAACACCTGTAAATTTTCTCTCTTAGTAAAAGATCTACAGCAATCCGAAGACGTAAGCAAAATTGGCTGAACTCCGTTATCAATTTCGGATATTATTTTTCCGCTTTTATTTCGCATTCTCACTAATATGGTTATAGGGAAATTACTAGTACTCGTTTATTTCCCAACATTAATTACACTGTAGGTCCTCAAATTATAACTCTTATTTTTAAATGGTCTCTAGAGTTTTGAACATTCTAATTTTATCCCCAAATTCTTCTAAATATGTAATTAATTTTAATCATAGTTTAACCTAATTTTTTTCCAAACATACAATAATATAACTTGGACTAATGATTTTATTAACAAGAGATGTAAGTAGTATGTACTTATAATTTGGGATGAAATTGGAATGTTTTGATCCTCAAATTGAAATGTTCAAAGGTTTGAGGACTAATTTAGAATGATAATCATAATTTAGGGATAAAATTAGAATATTTCAAAATTTAGGGACAAATTTAAAATGAGGATCATACTTTGAGGACATGTGATGCAATTACCTCTTTATTTTATTATATGCATTGTGTGATAAATTTTATATTACACATTTTCGTGTTATATATTATATATTTTTAATATTTTATATTTATAAATACAATATTTATTAACATTAGAAAATAAATTTTATTTTCAATGATGATACTTACATACAAGCTACCTTATTCTAGAAAAAATAAATAAAATATAAGCCTACCACCTTCACTTTGATGATTTAATAAAGTATGTGTTCCACTTTTATAAATTTAAACAGAATATTATTTCCATAATTAAACTTTTTGAACTAATACTTTTACAAAACTTAAATCAATAATACATTTTCTTTTGATAATATTCAACTGTTCAAATATAATACATTTTTAATGAAAATAGTATTCATATAATTTGATCTTAGCTTATGGATTATAGGATAAATTAAGATATAGTTATACCTTTAAAAATTTTAAATTTATACCAAAAAAAAAATAGTTATCCATTGTTCCCATATATAATGGGGTAAGGGGGAGGTATGATAATAGGTTGTTCCTAACATTAGGTTGAGAGCAGCTTCCGTAAGAGACCTCCAAATTATGAAATGCCCTCTATAGGACTCGATCCCACGATCTCAAGATTAAGAACAGTGTGCTCTACCAGCTGAGTTGGATGGCATTTTATTTAAAATTTTATATTATTTAGAATTTTATAAATTTATATTACATAAATTCGTGTCCGTTCTTCAACCAGACCAAACCTAGTTCAGAACCTAACCCAAAAAGATAAGGTCGGCACACTGTAGAGGCCGGGAGCCCAAACCTATTATCGTCTTTTTACTTTCAATTTTTCAATCATTATAGAGAACACTGCTCAGCCTGTCTATCGTCAGTTGATTGCTTCATCGATCTATTTAATTCAGTCTCTAAGCTTCCGTAGTCTTATTGTATACTCCTTTGACCTCTTGATTTATCCATTTTATTTTTTGTTTCCGCCGAAAAAAAATTGAAAAACCAAAACTAAACCTTGAAATTTCGCATTTGGATTCCTCAAAATCTGGGTAAGGCGTGATGAATTTTGAATTTTTCCGTGTTAAACTTGCTATGATCGGACTATTGATTTCGTTTTCCTTTGTTATTTGAGATTTCATTTTGTTATTCCGATTTTGAACTTAAGTTATAGTTTGTTTCCTAAATGATTTAATTTTTTTATTTGCTTGTTGTGCATAGATAACCCAGGCACAATGGCTAAAAGCAGCTTTAAGATCGAGCATGACTTTGGTATGTTACTGATAATTGTTTGTATTGATATTAGTTCTTATTGGTTTAGTTTATTTTTATTTTTTGTTAAACTTTGTTAATTTATGGGTTCTGGATATTCAGAGAAAAGACGCGCAGAGGCGGCAAGAATTAGGGCAAAATACCCTGATAGAATTCCAGTAAGAATTAATTATTAACCCTTTCTGTTTTCGTTATTTGTTAATGTTTCTTCTGGCGTTGAGTGAGTAATTTTGATTGTTCTATTGCTTGCCGAATTTTAACTTATAAATTTTGGTGAGAAATTCTGTTAGGTGTAGCTTATGTTCCATTTTCGATCAAAGTGACAATTTTCATGTCTGAATTTAAGGGTTGGATTCTTAGGAGTTAGGTCTGGCTTGCATTCCCTTAACGTGTAGTGTAATACTCCACCCTGTTGTTAAGTCATGTTCCTCCGCGGCTTCTGATTTAGTGCTTGCAGCATAATCATATATGTATAACGTCATTGTCAGTTATAATACTGTGATGTATGTTAATGAGATATGGCTCGATGATTTAAAACAATTGTTGCACATTTGAATTGGCAGGACTGGCATTACGGTCTTGACATGATTGTATCAACAGAACATATTGAAGTCCTTTGTCTTGTGTGTTATTTGACTGTGTTGTTAAGGCATATGTATATGTAGAATTGTGAGATGCTTTCATGTTGTGCTTGCAGGAATGTGATATCTATCGTGTTCATATCAGTCATTTGCTTTATTTAATGTATGTTCATGAGATACAACTTGAGGGTTTAAAGCAATAGTTCAAATCTTTGTTAGCTAAGAATGATTGCATGAATAATAGTGGATATCATGTTACAACTTTTGGGTTTTTTCAAAACCGTTGCCTATTCTAAGCAGATGAAAAGGAGAACTTTTGCCCTTTAAATATTAATAAAGATTAAACATCTTAATCTTGGAATGAATTGCTTGTGATTTGGTTTATACATTTTTCGTCTGTCTCCATGCATGATGCAAAAGAAAAGCTTGCACTTTGTGACCCCAATCTTTCTTCTATTGATATTTGTGTGTGTTTCTTAGGTGATCGTGGAGAAGACAAAGGGAAATGACATTCCCAACATCGACAAGAAGAAGTAAGCAACAGTTTCATGCCAAGTGCTCGATATCGTATTATCTTTTATATTTGTTTTCTTAAATAAAGGGCATAACCTTGCTATCATCATATTATTATTTAGTAGCAAGTGGTGATGACTGATTATATAATTTACAGATACTTGGTTCCAGCTGACTTAACAGTGGGTCAGTTTGTCTATGTTATTCGGAAGAGAATCAAACTGAGCGCCGAAAGGGCTATCTTTTTATTTGTGGACAATGTCCTCCCTCCAACTGGTATTTTCCTTTGCAAGTTCTTCCTTGACTAAAATAATAAATAACCCCCAGTTTTTAAAACTTTATTTAAGTAATCCCCTACATTTTTATTTTACCCGAATAAGCCCTTAGCATTTGGTTTATATTTAAAAGAAGCCTTTAACTCAAATCAATATCTCTTTGAATACTTTGGGTACAAATCAAAGGATAAAAATTCAATTTGGTATCCTTATGTAAAGTCATAAAATTCCGGGACATTTTTCGAAGTTTATCCTTTTTTTTCTTCTATGCTAATCTGTCTAATATCGTATTATCAACCTGCAGGAGCAATTATGTCAACCATCTATGATGAAAAGAAGGATGAAGATGGGTTTCTGTATGTTACATACAGTGGGGAAAATACATTTGGTTAGTAACATCATGCAACGACCTTAACTAATCTCAATTTAATACGGTCTCTTGCTTTAAATAATGAATAAGCATGGCATCGTTGCATGGTATATAGAACCTTTGTGTATTTACTTGTATAGTTCATTTGTACACAGCTTCTAAGCAACTAAAATTTCAGACCAATGAGCAATTTAAAATTCATTCAGTTGTGTTCATTTTATAGCATCTTGTTATCGGTTCGATTCACTGATTTATCAGAGCTTCACGATGTGAAGTGTATCTCGTGGAGTTTAAGTACAGTGATACAGTAAATTTGAGTTAGATGATCAAATGAATACATTGGAGAGCATTTACTCAAACATTTTTTCTAGTTTTCTATGTAGGATAGGGTACTTGTTTTGCATGATTTGAATGCAATATTGGTTTAGAAAATGTACTGGAAATTCAGCTATAAACGACCTTTAAATGTCATACTCTACTCATCTTCGTATTCCAAGTCTTGATTTCATTTCCCAATAGCTTCCATTGTGAACTAGGACTTCTTTTGGCGTCACTTCTCTTCTCATCATTTTGCATATAGCTAAAAGTATCGCTCAACCATGATCGCAATCGTTGTAATCTACACTGTTGCTGTCTTAAATTGGTACCAAATAATTTACATTCTGTTTTGGGTAAAATTTCAGTATGTTTTGGTGTGTTTCAATCCACTTTGGCCAATACGATGTGACACCGGTTCTATTTCGGTTTTCTTCATTCACAATGTTGGGTTTCATTCACAATGTTAGGTTTCAGTGTAGTAGAGGGGTGAGCATTAACTATCAAAGTTGATGACTCATATTTTATAATTTGAATTTAACTTGAATTTTTTTAAGTCGAGTCGAGTTTAAGAAATTCGAGTCAAGTTGCTTGGATTTTTATACAAATTTTATTATAATTATTTATATTTTATGGTAAAAATTAATTTTGATTTTTTGATTTTCTCTAATTATATAAGATATTCTTATTATTTAAATAGAATGTTATTTAATATATTAAATATATTCTAATTATAAAATTATATTTTAAAGGAGATATTTTGAGTGTAAAATATTGATGAGAAGGAATCAATAAATTAAAAGAAAGAAAGAATGTGTAAACAATTGAGTAAAATGTAAATGGATTAAATAAGAATGAAAGTATATTTTTAGTAAAATGAATTGAAATTACATATATATTCTATAGTGGTATGGGAGTATATGATTCAAATTTGATAAAAAAATGACTTAAAATGAAAGATGAATTAAATAAATAAATAATGAGATTAAATTTAAAAAATGAAAAAATAAGAGAAATTGAAAATATATAGATATTTTACTATGATTTAATAGTATAGTTTATATTTGGTAAAAATATATTTAAAATGAAAGAGAAATTGAAAGAATAAGAAAATATGAGATTAAATTGTAAAATTGTTAAAATATTCCGCTAAAGTTTTAGTTTTTAAATATTCAAAATTTTTAAATTTATCTCGAATCAAATTTGAAAATTGAATTGATAATTCAAGTTAATTCAAATAACTCGTTTCAAATAATTTAAAATTAAAAAAAATCAATTTTTAAGTTGAAATTTAATCATCCTTGCGTGATTTATAGGCTTTTGACGTCAGTTTTTTCTTCTTCTTCTTGTTAAAGCGTGCCTTATAAGGATGCATCTGTTTTACTTCTTTCGTATGGTTGTAAATGCAATATTACTCAAACTTAGAATTTATATGTAAACGTGAATATCAAATACTCTGATGGTTGGTAAAGAAAGATAAAAATAGGGATGGAAAAAAATATTTGACTCGATTGGGGAATATAACACTATTTAATACTAATATCAATCAAATACATTGGTTGTAAATGTAAAATTTGGTTAGATTTTTAAGATAAAAATCTATATCTATGTCATACAAAATTGGTAAGTTGGCGGACAGAACCAAACTGAGTTAAAGGAAATTTCTTTTTGCCATTTCCATTGCAGAAAATGAATGGATTTCAAGCATGGTTTTCAGAACCAGACCGGTTAGCAAATCGGCCGTACTATCGGTTCACTGGTTCAATCAATTGGAAGAACCGGACGACATCATAATTAATTAATTATTTAAAAATTTAAATGAAAATACCAAAAACATTTAATAATTTTTTTTATATCACAAGTCATATTCAAAGCAAGTCATAATATATATAAATTAAAAACCATAAAATCAAGTGAAACAAAATGATTCAAATCAACTACAACATAATATTTAAGGTAAAACATATTAAATAATAAATATAATTATATAACTATAATCAAAAAATAAATTTGGGGCTAAAAAAGTCATAACAAACGATGTTGTTTGATTTAATTTTTTAAAAAAAATCCCACATGGCTAAGAAACATAGAAAAGCATCAAAAAAGTCTAAAGAGAAAATATGAAAACAAAACAATTTCATATGGCTAAGAAACATAGAAAATCATCCCAACTGACTTCTATAAATAATAGAGGTAATTTGACATTCAAAATCATAGAGCCTTTTGGTGAGCACAGAGCGAACTATTCTTTCTCTTCAATCGAGCTTCTAATTTTTTTTAGTTCGAGCCTTTTTGAATTCAAGTTTCAATATTATATCTCGAGTTCGAGTTGAACTTGATATTTTTTAGCTAGTGAGTTTTTGAGTCGAGTTGAACTTACTTTTAAAGTTTTCGAGTTCGAGTCGAGCTCGGCAATACTCAAGTTCGACTCGGCTCGTTTAACAAACGATGTCGTTTGATTTAATTTTTTTTTAGAAAAAAAAACAGAACTGGCGGTTTACACCGGTTTTACCGATTCTATCGGTTTTCAACCGGTTTTACCGGTTCTATCAGTTTTCAACCGGTTTACGGTCCGATTCGGTTCGAACGATTCATAGCGGTTCTTTCCGGTTCACTAGTAACGATTTAATCGGTGTAAAATGAATCAGACCAGACAACGATTCCAGGTTAAACCGACCGATCTGATTCGATTTTCAAAACACTAATTTCAAGTTCCAGAATCTCCTATCAAATCCCCACAACTCTCCTAAAGGTCCAAAACTTCGCCTTGACTTTCAAGACCAAGACCAAGACAATCCCAACAACAGCAACGATGAATTTTCCCTCCTCGATGACCAGCAAGTCGTCGTCACCAAGCCCGATGCCCCTCCCAATCCTCCGTTAATAAAGCTTCCCACGATCGAACTGTCGATACCCAGATCGCCCGAATCTTTGATTGCGTCTGTCTTTGCCGCAGTTTCTTCGTTTGAAACTTCGTATCTTCGTTACAGGCTCGCACGCGCCCTTCGTGGAGGAAAGTGTGAAGGCAGCCGATATAGCTTTGATTTCTCACCTCAGGATATTGTCCGATTTGAAGCGTTTTTAAAAGGATATTTTGAAGAATCCAAATTCTAAAATCGCTCATGTCTTGCTTAGAAGCTCAAGTGCAACAGAATCAAAGCAAGTTGGAACTTTGCGGACGTTTTCAAACCGCTTGCAGGAAGAGGATGAGAAAGACAATGAAGTTTCGAGTTTGAGGAAGAAATTAGCTGAAATTCAATGGGCAAACGCCAAATTATCTAAGAAATTATGTGGTAATCTGAATTCAGCCTGTGATGTTCTTTTCGCCGTTAAGGTATTTTGTTCTGTTTTGCATGATGCTCGTAGAGCAACTCAAGTTCAGTAAGATTTTAATTGGTTTGATGAGAAAAGATTTGATTTGGTAGCCAACTCGGTTTATCCTGGTCTTGGTTATGCCAAGAAAGGGCACACTACATTTGCATTTCTATTATACGTTTGTCTCGGGATGTTTCGAGGTTACAATTTCAAAGGTTTCGGTTTCAGTCTGAGCTAGATCGAAACTCTTTGTAATGGGAATAAGAGTACTTGCTCATTGAAGCAATTGCTCTAACATGTATCTAACAAATCTATGGAGTTGCTAAGTAGGGACCAAAACTCCAAATTCAATCGATTGTGTACTAAGTAGGGACCAAAACTCCAAATTCAATCGATTGTGTGCTAAGTAGGGACCAAAACTCCGAATTCATCCCACTTTGGAGTCGTTGACATTCAGCAATTTGGATCAGAATGAAGTTGTGCTGATATCGTGGCAATCGTTGAGCATATTCTGTGTCATTTTTAGCATAGCTAATTCCGTATGGGCATGTCACCAATAGATGTAACTTGTTGAGACAAACTAAGGTGAAAGTCGGGTACACAGTGGTTCCGGGGTTCAAAATCAGAAGCACCGAGATTCAAACCAAAATTTGAACCTTGAATTTTAAGTTCGAGAATCAAGTCAAGCTCAGCTAGAGCTTTTTTAAGCTTGAATGCAGCTCTATGAGATGCACCCTTAGATCCAAAGAAAAGGCAATCAAATGCGAGATTGAAAATAAAAAAACGTTTCAAATTAAATGAAAAATATAAGATAGATAATTCTGACACACTAAACATAATATTTCCTTCCCAAGTATCTCAATTTCAGACATAAATGAACTAGTTCTTTAAAAAGCATTAATACCAAAAGTTTAACCCTGCATATTCAGGAGAATGTCAATTGGCCCTAGAAGACTTGAACTGTCGGGTCTAAGCCACAAGAGTGCTGGCGGTGGTAGATTCACTGCATGATGGAAATTCTGTTAAGATTTGCAAGTAAAAACCTGAGTCTTTAGGCCACTATACTAGAATGACCACTATTGGGGTCAACAAAATTTTCCGAAAGGGCAGTCCTCCAACACTGGTTGAACACTATGTTATTTTAACCAACATATACTCGGACATGGGTATAATAATAAAATTCTCCAAATATACGAGCATATTTGGAAACAAAAAGAAAATATTTGTTAATGATACATGCATCCAACACTCTCTCTCAGCCCAACTAACATAAGTTAAAACACATTAAGAACATTAATGAGAAACAGGGATATAAAAACTTACTATTTCCACACTGGTGGAAGCTTCTTTGTCTTCTTGTAATATCGGGCAAGACGGTGAATTCTGCTCTCGACCAGGATCAACCTAAATTTGGAATCCTTGTCTTTCCTGTTCCGTTCAAGATGCTTTCTGATAGCAACAGCTTTCTTAATCAGGTGGTAGAGATCCTCAGGAATTTCCGGAGCAAGGCCTGAAAATCAAATCAACAGTTCGAATGTTTATAGTTAAATGTAAAGAGAAATGTAAAAACAAAAATTTCAACAAGGTGTACCATGGGCTTTCAGTATACGCAAAATCTTGCTGCCGGTGACACTCTTCACCTGTGCAATACCATGAGAATCACGGAGGATGACACCGATTTGTGATGGGGTCAAACCCTTCTTTGCAAACTTGCAAATGTTCTCCTCAACCTAAATGATAAAATCAAAATGAATAAATATTGCGAAACTAAATAGTACAAACTTTAAATATCAGACATAATGAACTAAAGTAGGGGTTTTCCAACTACTCATAATAGCATAAATGTAAACCAATGTTACTCGGGCTTTCTAACTTTTTTTCATATCTTTGAATGACCATACCACTTACTCATTGCCAAATATGCGATGAACGAGAGTGCTTCAAGAAAAATGAAGATTCAAATTAACATAATATAAACCCCCAAAACGCCTTTAGAATACTAAAAGGAACAATTGTAGCAGCCCAATCCTTTGAGGTAGATCATTAATTACAACAAAAATCGCCCATCACTTGAGCAGTAAAATTTGTGGTTACACTTGAATTCTTCAAGAATAACATACTAATCAAAGATCAAAACAACTCGAGGTTTAGTCCATGAAAAGTAAGAGAGGTAATGTGTGAAACCACCGACAAACAAGAACCAAAGTCTATTTTGATTCCACGCTTGAGAAATGTGAAGAAACAAAGCATTGGGACATAACTAAATGCCATGTTATTCTAGCTCTTCGCTTTCCTTGAGCTCCATTTCTAATATCAACGTCGGACGTAGACATTAAATTACGATTAGAATGTAATCACGCCGGACACACGTCCGTATTCTTATACTGAATGCACTATCAAACATAAATATTAATCATTTAGAGGTTGCTCCCACAGCTTTCGGTTTTCTCAATCTTGACAAAATTTAACTAAAGAAACTTCGATTAATAATAAAATTTTGTTCGGTGAAGCAAGTAAAATTAATAGAGCGTTTAAGACAAATGACTCACATCTTGAGAAGAGATCTTCAACCAACTAGGCGGAGTTCTCTTGTAAGGCAAAGCGGATGCTGAAATACCCTTACTGCAAAATAAAATTTCTAATCAGCGACAAAGCAAATAGAAGAGACACGATCGATGAAATCATGGGGCTGTTTTCAGAGGATAATGAATCAAGTTTTAGACGAAATACAAACCCTCGGCTGTGCATACGACCCATGGTTACAGATTCTCGAGCCCGGCTGCTTCTTTTGATTACTTACCTCTGCTAGATTGCAGTGAGCAAAGAAACCCTAAACTCGAAATAAAGGTTGTTGGGGGCTAGGGTTTTATTATCATCTAGTCCTTTGCTAGTGAACTTTGGGCCCTTTTTGTGTTTATTGGGCCGGACCTTGCCAGTTAATTAGATAAAGATAAACTACACGAATGATTATTTATATTTTCGATCTGATTGATTTTGAGACATCGATTAAAAAGAGGTGACTTTGATTTCTTACATTATCGATCTGTTCAACTTTAATCTCTTAACTATTAACCCATGTTAACCCTTTAACGAAAAATTAAGTAATAATTAAAAATTAAAATAAAATCTACTTATTATGTCAATTAAATTTAAAATAATATTGTGTCAATTAAAAAATTAAAATAAAATCCACATGTTGTGTCTTCTTCTTGTGTTAGTACTGTTATCGTGGTTATGATTTCACTATTTTCTTTTTTTGATTAATTTATTTTAGTTTTTTTGTTTATAATTAGTTTGATGTTATTACACTGTAATATCGTAAAGTCAAAGTAATTACATTGGTTGATAATAATGTCATTCGCACCATTTACTGCCTCTTCATCTTTCTCATTTACTTATTGATTCCAAATGCCCAATATATGTTGCATATAATACCATCACACTTAACAATAAATTTTGTATCTCTAATTCTCCATCCTCCACTGCCATTGAAATGGATTTTTTTTATATATTTTAATTATCACCTAACACTTCCGTTCACGTAATACTTCCGTTAAGGTTGACGTTTAAGATATTAAAATCAAACGGACCAAAAATATAACTGATCGGAATCATTCTTTTTTTTTTAATCGTTGACTAAAATTTATCTAACAAAAAATATAAGGGACTATCCGTATAATTTACCCATTAGATAAAGCTATTAGATCAACTTTTTTTTATATTAATTATTTTTCCGTTCTTGTATGGTGACTGTGATGACAAAATTGTTCCAATAGTATATTTAAAAATTATTTTTTAAATAGGGTGTTTACTATAATACTTAATGGAAGTCGTCAGGATCACTCAACGACTACCGGAAGATGTCTAGTTTACTTGGCAATTTCTGAAACGTCATTAATTATTTCTACTATCGTTTATATATAAAGATTAAATAAGACGTCATATAATCCAGACGAATTTTAAAATTCGTATGTTCAAAACGATTTTCAAAGAGTAATGTAGCAAACATTTTAAATTTAAAATATTTTTTCAAGCACTTTATGTGGCCGATTATTTTTTTCTATACATCATTTAAAAAATTGCAGGACTATGATACAATCTAATTTGATAATTATTATAATTATTGATAATTTGATCGGAACTGGGGCTACTTCAAGTTATGGAACTAGAGATGGTAGTGCCATCGTTGCCTCTTGTTCCAAAAGTTTGCGGTAGCACTCTATAACACATTACTAAAAAATTTACAATAAACAGTAAAAATGTTCATTTGGATGTAACATGAGTAACACTTTGTTGTTTCACAGGTACTGATATCTTACTTTGGCATGGGAGAACTGGGAAAGTTTTAGGGCATGTTGACACTAATCAGTTGAAAAATATCATGGCTACTATATCACCAAATGGCCGTTTCGTTACTGCTGCAGCCTTTACAGCGGATGTAAAGGTGTATCTCTCTCAATTCCCTTTTATTTGTGATACAATATTAATACTACAACCAATATTTGGAAATTCTGAAGTCTCTCTAACACTTGAAAATCGAAATTGTTTATCACCCAAATTTTATGGAACTCTCGAATTAAGATTGCATCATTTTGATCACGATGGATTACTTTGTAGCATTGAATTTACACTTCATTGAGAGTCAGACTATGGGCATGCTTCATATATAGATAAAATCACGTAGTATTGCTGTGAGATTTCCACCTATATTTTGGACTATTTTAGTTCGTGTTTGTCATATACATGCCTGATGCACTGTGCATGAATGGATTACTTCATCCTGCATTTTATCCTTGAGGTTCATTATTTTGCTAAGTATCAGCATTTACGTTGTTAGATATGGGAGATTATATACGCCAAGGACGGTTCAGTCAAGGAGGTTACAAACATTATGCAGCTTAAAGGGCACAGGGCATGTAATTCCACCCATAGTCGTAAAGCTTATGTGCTATTTTTTTCATTATGTTCATATCGTTCAATTACATCTTTTCTTTCATGCCACAAGTTGCTATCCTCTGTTATAGTCGTAAAAGGTTTCGCTTTAACAAAGTCTTTTGTTTGTGGTACTTAGTATTGATGAAAGTTTCTGTTCCTCGTGCAAAGTATTTTACACAATTACAGAATACTTGACAAACTTCTATCGACTAATGCATCCCTTGTTTGTTTCTTCCTCACGGCATATTTGGAAGTAATGGCTTTTGACGTTTCTTTAATTGCTGCTTGTTTCTAACTTCGTCATGTTTTGGGTATTGTTTTCTTAATGTGCAGAGTGCAGTGACTTGGTTGTGCTTTTCTCCAAACTCGGAGCAAATTATTACAGCATCCAAGGATGGTACAATAAGAATTTGGAACATCAATGGTCTGTTTGCACTCCCGTGACTTTCTCCCACCTCTTTTACACACACATGCACATACCGGTTCCGATAACAAGAAAATCAATGTCGATGACTTTGTTGCTAATAAATTTTCCCTTCCATTGAAGTTAATTTACAAACTGTTATGCCTAACATGAGTGGAGTTTTTGTACCCTTTTCTATTTCTCGTATTGGAGTTATTATTCTGCCCCTGCTGACTGTTCTAAGTGCTTTGTTGAAGTTCGATACCAGCTTAACAAGGATCCAAAAACTCTGAAGGTGTTTCCAATACCGCTTCACGATGCAATTGGTTCAACTTTGCACTATGATCGCCTCAGCGTATCCCCTGATGGAAAGATACTGGCAGCAAGTCACGGTCCAACATTGCAGTGGCTATGTCTGGAAACAGGAAAGGTGTTGGATACTGCCGAGAAATCGCACGATGGTACAGCCTGAGCCGTCAATTTTTATTTTTTTCCGCTCATATCCATACCATTAGATCAAAATCTAAAAAACGATGTTTTGACGAAGAATACAGGTTTTCAGGTTCAAATTATTATGCACAATGGAGGTTATTATGACCTGAACTAAATCCGGCCCCCTTTATGTCCCTCTCCCATTTTGTTTCTTTCTAAAAGCCTTTGACCATCGCCTTTTTCACGACTATTTTAACGTTTGATTGATATGGATTGCGAATTGCTGATTCGAGACTCAGGCATTGACTCCGGTTGTATACAGCAGATAATATTACATGGATTTCGTGGTCACTGAAGCATATGCCATTAGGTAAAACATATTCTCGAGCTATGTCGATATATCTCCGATTGCTTATACTCTTGCAATAACATGGATTTTGTGGGAAGCACCATCGAAAGATTTGTGATAGTAATCAAACCAATACACTCCATCCCTGTCAAGGTTGTTCATGAGGCCTTGCATAATGCACTTTAGATTAGTTAATGAGATTTTGCTTACTTGAAACATTTGTTTGCTTTGTGAAAATATATAAATAAAATGTTTTTTTCTTAAAAGTTTTAAATATTAAAATGGGTTTTCAATCTTCACCTAAATGGCATTTTGAGTAAAGTTGAAAATATCAGCTAAGCAGAGCCTTAATGTTAAATAAAAATACATGGGCGGCTGTTCGGACGGGATTGGCATGAAGAAAACAAAAAGAACAACTAACGCCCACCGTGGGGCTCGAACCCACGACCACAAGGTTAAGAGCCTTGCGCTCTACCGACTGAGCTAGACGGGCTGGTTGGTTAAGAAGTGCATAGTTTATTTAATGTTTTATTTTTTATCTCTCAATAACAGGCAAATATATGAGTAATGAAATTGTTCGAAGTTTGAACCATGGATTTCATATAAACTGTAAGTTTATAATAAATACAAGCAATATTATAACTTATTAAGATTAATTTACGTCACATTATATAATAATGTTATCAAGTTATATTCGTATATATTTTTAATGATTTTATAATTTTTTTAAAAAAATCTACAAGTAACAACAACATCTCAAAAATATATTATAGTTTAACAGTCAGAATTTATAAAATTTTTAACAGTTTCAGTATTTTCAATTTGAGAGTTTAATTAATTAATTTTATTAATTTAAAATTTATATTATACAAATAAATAATACATTTTTTTTCAAAAGCACCCCTAAGTCAAAATTTTACGATTTAGATAAAAACAAGGCTCGATATAATATATTCGTGTATTATGGGGCAAAAGTGCCCAGATAAGGATGTGCGAATGTTTAATTCCCAATCTAATGTATTCATCCGATTAATTCTTGATCTAGGATGTTTTCTACAGGGTTTTGGGATTTCTCGATGTCTTCAGTGGTGTTGATTATTTCTTGGGATCTCTAGGCGTCTTCAATTGAAATCCAAGAAAAAAAATTGGCGTTTTTACACAAATATCACCTTAACATAAATTAATTATTTGTTAGGTACTGTTTAAAAATATTTTACGGATCTAACAAATTTTAAATAATTTCTATAAAATTATTCCTGCATTAAATTACACAATAAAATTATGTCTACTAATTACCACTTGACACTTTCTGATGCGTTTTTGACCCTTTCAAAATATAAATAATTTTATAAAATATTACGGATAATCATCATCATTATTTTGAAAATAATTTTGCAGAAAGGAACGGTACATGCACCGCATAAGATTTTGAAAAATATTTATAAAAGTTTTATAACTAATATTTATTTTTTAAAATCCTATGCGGTGAATGTGTCGTTCCTTTCTGCAAAATTATTTTTTAAAATCCTAGAATATAGTATACATATAGGATTTTGAAAGGGTTAAAAACGCATCAGAAAATGTCAAGTGGTAATTGGTAGACATAATTGAATTGTGTAATTTAATGCAAAAATAATTTTATAGAAAAAAATTAAAAATTTACTAAATCCGTAAAATATCCTTAAATATTTACGTTTCAAACACCCTTTGCGATAATATTCCCGATCTAACATCCTTTGCAGAAAGGCGCAACCCATGCACCTTCCATCCCACCGACCCAACTGACTGTTCACACCATCCATCCAATCCTATAAATACCCCACTCTCAACTATTTTCACCACACCAAATCCTCTCAAATTCTCTCAAAAACCAAACATCGTTCAAATTTTATTTATAAAATATATTTTGTTATATTTAATATTTTGTTAATATTTTATTTAATTATTGTATTATTTAATTTTTTTATTATTTTATTTAAATATTTTATTTTTTTTGTAGTTATTAAATAGAAATCGGTCTGCTTCGTTTGGATGGAAATCTGTATAAGTTAACGATGATGTTGGATATCTGTATTGAAGCGACGACATTCTTCTAGTTGAGAGGATTGTTGTGAATGTTTACAAATTGAGAGTGTATTTATAGTTGAGAAAAAAGTTTAAAAGCGGTGCATGGGCCGCACCTTTTTGCAAAGGGTATTAAATCGGGAATATTATCTCAAAATGTGTCTGAAACGTAAATATTTAAGGAAAATGTGATTTTTTTGGTAAAATCGCCAAAAATCCACAATAAGCAGAATTTTTTTTAACAAAAGACGCCAAGTAATCCATGTATTAAAATTTTAGCCCAAAGACGCCGAGATATCCTGGGGTCTTTAGGTGATTACTGTAGAAAATACGTTAGATGGGGAAATAATGTTGGAATCACGTTAGTTTGAGAATTAAACACTCTCTGTAGCATTATCCGGGCACTTTTACCGTATTATGGTGTAATTCTCATTTATTTATGTATATGTTTTTTTAATTATCTCTTATATTATCATTCAATCTTATTGTTACTCTAACGATGTTTTTATATTGAAAAAGTTACTTGGAGTAATCAAAATGTGCCACTGGACTGGACACAGGGTGAAGTAGGTTGATTTTTTGACCGCTCCTATTCCAATCTAAAAATTAAAGAGTTATACCCTATCTTAATCCCTTTGTATTTGATGATGTTCTAAGTTCAACGTTTGAATTTTGTGTTTTAAATTTACTATGACTCGACATGAATAAAAAAAAAGATAATTGATACAAATTTATAAATGAGTATTATTATAATTATTAAAGTCAGATCAGATCAGTTCTTTTTATTTTAAATTCATTTCTACCGTAACTTCGGTTATTCTCTTTTATAAAATCTCTTCTAATCTAATATGAACCTACTTTTTTTAAAAATTAAATAAAAAATTAAATCGAAACTTAAATATCCCTTCGCACCATGGGTCAAAAGAATATATTTAAATTCGACCGACTCATAAATCCACTGGTTTTGTGTTGGGTTGGGTCTATATGGGCCTAAACCCGGACCCATACTAATAGGAAAAACGGCTTTCTTGTTGGCAAAGGCAGACTTGTTAAATCTGAGTAAAGGAAAATAATTTAAAAAAAAAAATCAGTGTTCTCTAAATTTCTCTTTGTCGACCTAAGTCTCTATCTGCTCCGTTCACCATGACCAAGCAACAGGCGAACTGGTCTCCTTACGACAACAATGGAGGGTACATTTTTTTTCACCCAACCAAAATATGTTTATTTTTTTTCTTCATTTTCGATTTCGTTGTTTATTGAATGTTATTGTTGTGTTTTTCTTGGATTCTTTTTTGGAAAATTGCAGATCTTGTGTTGCGATTGCCGGAGCTGATTACTGTGTTATCGCAGCTGATACTCGAATGTCAACCGGTTACAATATTCTGACCCGCGAATACTCCAAAATCTGTAAACTGTATGTTCTTTATTCAGTCCCTTGGTCTTTTTTTTTAGGTTAACCAGAATTGATTGAAAATAATAGAAATTTGGAGTAGAAAGTAATAGCCTGTTAATCAGGGACGGAGTGAGGATCAAACATTGGGAGGGACCAAATCAGCTAACTTAAAATTTACAAGGGTCAATTAAGCATTTAAACTCATTTTTTCTTCTGGTGGGAAGGGTTAATTTGTCTGATATTTGAACTCACAGTTACAGAACCTAAATTGCTATTAGTCCAAAAAAATTGGTGGGGGTGTAGGCAATGGAGTTTATTTTTGGCAATTAATAACAGTATTATCAAGATGTAGTCTTGTAAATTTTCCAAGCTGAGGTTAAGTATAAGGAATTTGACAATTAATTCTTAATGGGGAAATTATGGAATTTGGTGAAATTTGCTAAAGAAGATTGTTTGTAATATTTAAAGTAGTTTTGACTGTAATGGTTGAAAGGATCCCAGCACTCTATTTTATTTCCGGTTAAGATAATGGAATAGAAATTGGTAAGTTTTCCTACAAGCTATCCTCGTATGTTTGATAGTTTTCTGAGCTATATTGTTATAGTTATGGAACTCTAGAGGATAGCAATGTCAGTGTTTCCATAACCAAATAGCTCACATGGTAAAGGAAAAGATATGGCATAGTTTATACATTCTCAATCGTTAGATCAAGATCTTTGGTATGTGTTTCGAAGACAGACTTTTAATATGTAGATAATGGGTATTTCGGTGCATCTCAATTTTTAAAGCAAGTGTTAGTGAAGATGGAGGGGGGTTAATAGTCTGTAATGATTGATTTTCTTTACTTATTTATGTTTCAGCTTTTCTATTTGTTTCTTTTTGAGGGTTTCTCATTAGTGTCTCTTTGACATTTGCAGTGCAGATAAATGTGTTATGGCATCCTCGGGATTTCAAGCCGATGTGAAGGCTTTACAAAAGCAACTGGCAGCTAGGCACTTGGTAAGGTTTCCCCTTTCGTTGATATGAGGCAGTACTCGTTTTGCATGGAATGTTGGCTTCACTTGAATTTTCTCATTAACTGTACTAGAATAATTTCAAACAAGAAGGACATGTAATTTTGATTTAGTGTTCAGACTTTTAGGAACCTAATCATGATTCCAGTACTTGTAAACATATGCTGCAGCTGATATAAATTATAATATCGTATATATATATGTACGTGTGTATATACACAGTTCTAATGTTGCTTCTCAAAATAAAGATTTATCAGCATCAGCACAACAAGCAAATGAGCTGCCCTGCAATGGCCCAACTGCTGTCCAACACCCTTTATTACAAGCGATTCTTTCCTTATTATTCTTTTAATGTTTTAGGCGGCCTTGATAATGAAGGTATTCTGCTTTGAGCCGTAGTTTCAAGTATTAAGCCTTTATTTGTATCGTGAGAATATGAGTTAATATTCTTATTTTAAACCATTAGGAAAGGGTTGTGTCTTCACATATGACGCTGTTGGTTCCTATGAGAAGGTTGGATACAGCTCTCAAGGTTCCGGTTCGACACTCATCATGCCTTTCTTGGATAACCAACTGAAATCACCCAGTCCTCTCTTATTGCCTGTCCAGGTATGCTCCCGAGTTTAATTATTTATTGTCTCATTTCATTTAGACTTTGCTTTTTTTTTTTCATCTCAAGCCCATGGGTCTTGCAGGATGCTGTTACTCCACTTGTGGAAGCTGAAGCTGTCGATTTGGTGAAAACTGTTTTTGCGTCAGCATCTGAGAGAGATATATACACTGTAAGTTCTCATTCAATTAGTTTCTATGATTTGGTAACTTGGGAAGGCTGTGTTCTATTGGTATGCTCTGACTTTCACTTTTCTTTTAGTATCCTTGTCCGATACATTTTTTGCCATAGGTATGGGATGTGACCCTCCAAATACATGGAAGAAGTTGGAAATAGCGAACATACCCTGTTGGATGCGTGCCTGAAGTAATAATAGGGATGGATCCTCCAAAGATCCTTTAGATAAATGAAAAAGAGTCAGAAAATATCCATTACCATCACTCACACTTGAGTCTGTGTAGCATACATCTTAAGTGCCTCGAAATAGATCAGCTCCCTTCTTGGTTGTTGCGGTCTTTGATTTTATCGGGATATAATCAGGCTTTGGGGAACGAAACTTCAATCTCACATATCCTATTTCAATTCCTTCTCTAACTCTTTTCTGTTTTTGTATTCGCCACGGATGTTTAACAGGGAGACAAACTTGAAATTGTTGTCATAAATGCTGATGGTATCCGTCGGGAATACATGGAACTTAGGAAAGATTGATCAAATTTCCACTGTGATCTGGGTTACACACCTCTTACAGACGTGTGAGTCCTTGAATTGATGGAATGACTGGTATACCGTGTCTGATGCTTGTATCAAACTACTTTGATCGTATTCTGATACTCAAATCATGCATTGCAGTTTAATTTATCTTTCAAGATATCAGCTGTTAGGCAAAAATAGGCTTTGGATAATGTTTCATGGATGGTCTGTTGCTCAACTAATCTTCTGTGTTTTAAAAGGAAAAAAATTGTTTCCACTTTTGATTCTGTTTTGGCAAAGTAGATAATGAAATGCTGTCCAAAATCCAATTGTTGCAATGTGAGGGTATGGCTATTGGGACGCTGATACGAGTTGAAGCTGTAAGAAATTCGGTTCGAAATTAAAAGACTCGAAGCTCTGTTCGAATAAAGCTCATTTATCTAGTGAAGAAAGAATTATTGTTTTTCTGTTAATTTTATATAACTCTAAATAATATAATATTAAATTTAACTTTCAATATTTACATATTGGGTTAATATAATCTGAATTCCAAAAAAATCAATGTATAATATATACATTTTACAAATATTAAAAGTTAAATATACTGATTTTTTTTTAATTTAGAATCAAAATGGTGTAGTATATAAATGTTGAAAAGATCAAGTTTATTATTTTAATAATTAAATTTATATAAAGTTAGTAAAAAAATACTAATATTGTAATTAGTTGCTGAATAAAAAAGTTAAATTGAATTAAATTATTAAGATAAATTTGAAATGGGTGAAATATTATCAAACATCAAGACTATTCACGATTGGGTGCAAGACTTCAACTATTACATCAGAGTCGATGCGATAATAAACCAACCGTTTAATATATATATATATATATTTATAATTAACGTTCATATTCGTATATATGGGATACTTAAGACCTTAAAGAATAACAGTAAATTTCGGTTTTAATTCCCTCCTATCACCAGCCTTAATATGAAATGCCCTGATTGCCCTCCTTCGTATCACAAAAGTACACCTCACCATTCTACATGTTAGCTTCCACTTTATTGCAGCTCCCGCCAGTTAGTTAGGCCGTTACTAAGCAAGCGCATTTCAGTACATTGGTGAAAGTATTGATGAAAGTTTCGCTTTAACAAAGTCTTTTGTTTGTGGTACTTAGTATTGATGAAAGTTTTTGTTCCTCGTGCAAAGTATTTTACACAATTACAGAATAATTGACAAACTTCTATCGACTAATGCATCCCTTGTTTGTTTCTTCCTCACGGCATATTCGGAAGTAATGGCTTTTGACGTTTCTTCGAATTGCTGCTTGTTTCTAACTTCTTGTTTTGGGTATCGTTTTCTTAATGTGCAGAGTGCAGTGACTTGGTTGTGCTTTTCTCCAAACTCGGAGCAAATTATTACAGCATCCAAGGATGGTACAATAAGAATTTGGAACATCAATGGTCTGTTTGCACTCCCGTGACTTTCTCCCACCTCTTTTACACACACATGCACATACCGGTTCCGATAACAAGAAAATCAATGTCGATGACTTTGTTGCTGATAAATTTTCCCTTTTATTGAAGTTAATTTGCAAACTGTTATGCCTAACATGAGTGGAGTTTTTGTACCCTTTTCTATTTCTCGTATTGGAGTTATTATTCTGCCCCTGCTGACTGTTCTAAGTGCTTTGTTGAAGTTCGATATAAGCTTGACGAGGATCTGAAAACTCTGAAGGTGTTTCCAATACCGCTTCACGATGCAAGTGGTTCAACTTTGCACTATGATCGTCTCAGCGTATCCCCTGATGGAAAGATACTGGCAGCAACTCACGGTCCAACATTGCAGTGGCTATGTCTGGAAACAGGAAAGGTGTTGGATACTGCCGAGAAAGCGCACCATGGTACATCCTGAGCCGTAAATTTTTTTTCCGCCTATATCCATACCATTAGATCAAAATCTAAAAAACGATGTTTTGACGAATAATACAGGTTTTCAGGTTCAAATTATTATGCACAATGGAGGTTATTATGACCCGAACTAAATCCGGCCCCCTTTATGTCCCTCTCCCATTTTGTTTCTTTCTAAGAGCCTTTGACCATCGCCTTTTTCACGACTATTTTAATGTTTGATTGATATGGATTGCGAATTGCTGTTTCGAGACTCAGGCATTGACTCCGGTTGTATACAGCAGATAATATTACATGGATTTCGTGGTCACTGAAGCCTATGCCATTAGGTAAAACATATTCTCGAGCTATGTCGATATATCTCCGATTGCTTATACTCTTGCAATAACATGGATTTTGTGGGAAGCACCATCGAAAGATTTGCGATAGTAATCAAACCAATACACTCCATCCCTGTCAAGGTTGTTCATGAGGCCTTGCATAATGCACTTTAGATTAGTTAATGAGATTTTGCTTACTTGAAACATTTGTTTGCTTTGTGAAAATATATAAATAAAATGTTTTTTTCTTAAAAGTTTTAAATATTAAAATGGGTTTTCAATCTTCACCTAAATGGCATTTTGAGTAAAGTTGAAAATATCAGCTAAGCAGAGCCTTAATGTTAAATAAAAATACATGGGCGGCTGTTCGGACGGGATTGGCATGAAGAAAACAAAAAGAACAACTAACGCCCACCGTGGGGCTCGAACCCACGACCACAAGGTTAAGAGCCTTGCGCTCTACCGACTGAGCTAGACGGGCTGGTTGGTTAAGAAGTGCATAGTTTATTTAATGTTTTATTTTTTATCTCTCAATAACAGGCAAATATATGAGTAATGAAATTGTTCGAAGTTTGAACCATGGATTTCATATAAACTGTAAATTTATATGAAATACAAGCAATATTATAACTTATTAAGATTAATTTACGTCACATTATATAATAATGTTATCAAGTTATATTCGTATATATTTTTAAATTATATAATAATTTACGTCACATTTCAGTACATTGGTTTTCAAACTTGAATTTTCATAAAATTCAGATAAAAATGCGATCTAAATCTCGATCCTTTTGTATCTGTTTACCAAAAAAATCAGCTCAGTCTTCGGCTCTTGGCCTTCCTCTCTCGCATTGTACTTTCTTTGTAATTCTTATGCAATTAGAGCAATAGCAATGGTGGTGTAGTGTAGGCTCAGTGAGTCAACCAGATTCCATTTCTCACTCGGATAATTAACAAAGCTAAAAGGGAAGATCAAATGATACGTAGCAGCATTTTATTAACCGTTTCCTAAAATCTTCTGAGTTGGTGGATTGACGAGTTATATTCGACTCGGGAATGTCTTCTGCGGAAGCTGATTCCCGCGTTAGCCAATTGGTAGTCCCGGCCTTAAAGAAGATCATCAAGGGCGCTTCGTGGCGGAAGCACTCGAAACTCTCTCAGCAATGCAAATCTCTTCTCAAGGAACTCACTTCTCCGATGACGACGCCGTTATCCCCTTCGGATTCGGAGCCGGAAAACTTGATCCCTGACCCAATCAACGACGGAGGACAAGTAGAGTATTCCCTCGCTGAATCGGAATCCATTCTCAGCCCTCTGATCAACGCTTGCGCCACCTCCTTCAACAAGATTGTCGATCCCGCCATTGATTGCATTCAGAAGTTAATCGCAAACGGGTACCTGCGTGGTGAAGCGGACCCCACCGGAGGGCCCGAGGCTCAGCTGTTAGCCAAATTGATTGACTCGGTATGTCAATGCCACGTTTTAGGTGACGACGCCATTGAATTACTGGTATTGAAAACGCTTTTAACTGCGGTAACTTCCTTCTCATTGCGAATTCACAGTGACTGTTTGTTGCGAACTGTGAGAACATCTTATGATATTTACTTAGAGACAAAAAATACCGTTAACCAAATGACTGCGAAAGCTACATTGATTCAAATGTTAGTTGTTGTCTTTAGAAGAATGGAGGAGGACTCTTCAACAGTTCCAGTTCAGCCAATTGTAGTGGCTGAATTGATGGGACCGGTTGAGAAATCGAATGTTGATGGATCAACGACTAACTTTGTTCAAGGGTTTATAACTAAAATTGTGCAGGACATTGATGGAGTGTTCAATCCAGTGACACCAAGTAAGGTTTCTTTAGGTGTCCATGATGGCGCATTTGACACTACTGCCGTTGAAACCACGAATCCTGCCGATTTGCTGGATTCTACTGATAAGGATATGTTGGATGCAAAATATTGGGATATTAGTATGTATAAGACGGCACTAGAAGGGAGGAAAGGGGAGTTGGCAGATGATGAAGCAGAGAAAGATAATGATTTGGAGGTTCAGATTGGAAATAAGTTAAGACGAGATGCATTTCTGGTGTTTAGAGCACTTTGCAAGTTGTCGATGAAGACACCACCTAAAGAGGCTATGGCCGATCCCCAGTTGATGAGAGGGAAGATTTTGGCACTGGAGTTGTTGAAGATTTTTCTGGAAAATGCTGGAGCTGCTTTTAGAACAAGTGAAAGGTATCTTTTGTGTTCCATCTTTGCACATATTTCTTTGGTTTTATTTCTAATTAGCTTTTCCAAAAGTTTCTAATACTTAGGGCTTTAGTTCTGCATTTACTCAAGTTTATGAAAAATATGTATAACTCTTGATATGCCCTCTTAATATTAGTTTGCTGAATAATCTTTAGTATGTGCTGAATATAGGTTATATTCAGAAACAACAGTAAGGTATAAACACCTAGATGACAAGTCTCAAAGGATTGACAAAACCGTTGTAACATTTTTTTAGATTTTGAAACATCTGAGGTGGCTTTTTCTGACAGGTGCGTTAAAGTAACACCTGAGGTGGCTTTTTCCGATTTTGCTGGATATTTTAAATCATATTGTGTTATAGTCTTGTGGTTGTGGACCCTTTGTACATTTACCAACTTGTTCTGGGATGCGTCCTTTTGTTGATCACTTTAATTCCAACCTCTGGTTAATCCGCACAGTGGTAGTGCCTTTGCTTATTGATTTCAGTAACATTGTTGTTTGCATTCATATTCCAGCAGCACCTTTAGTTCTGTATTTGTCTTTATGATTTTATCTCATGTTTATATCGATATCACATCTTTTTGTTCATGCCTTAACATTTGTAGTAGTGGTAGACAGCCTATGTATAATATCTTCAATTTCCTTGATCAAAAGTTACTATTTTATTTCAAATTTCATTTTTGTTTGCTCGCATTACCTGCCCCGATACTTTTAGCCTGAGTTTGAATTTTTCCTATTGGTGAAAATGCTTTTGTTGGTACAGGTGTCGAAACCGTTTTTTCCTTAAAATGGTGAAAAAAGGTGAGATTTAAAAGCCACATTAATTTTTAATTTACCTCTTTCAATTGAGTTTTAATTTAAAACAAATGTGATTTGAAAACCTCTCGTTTCGAAAAATTTTGGATTTCTTTTATGATTAAAAAAAAATACAGTTCAAAGAGTCGCCACCAATATTTGATTAGGGTGTGATTGGGCACCCAAAAATGCTTGTTATTTTAAATAAAAATTAATTTTAATTAAAACAACAAATTGAGGTCTGCGTTACCAAAATCCGAGTTCGGGAGTCGGTTACGTGTGGGGAAGGATTAGCACCCCCACAACGCCCTAAATCAGTACCTAGTCGATTAATTAACGTCTTTGCAATGAACTTTACAAATTCGAACTTTATTTGACTTTTGATCCCATAAAACAATGACGTAAATTTAAAAACATTCAAAAACACTCAAACAAATTAAATTAAAATTACCAAGTCGTTTTAGAAAGATAAAGAATGTTCGATTATTTACAAATATCGAGACCAGATCTTAAAGATATAACAACCTTTTCTCGATATATTTAAATAAACGAACATTTCTTTTTCTCTCGTTCCCAAATTTTAGATGACGAATCAATTTTTGGTTTCACTTTTGGGATACACTTTTATTTTAAAATCATTAAAAGCAGACCTCAAATCAGTTATGACTGCCCACTTAAAACAATTTTAAATTAAAAATGTATTACCCTTAATTCAATTATGTATTATGTCGAGTTATGCAAGTGAGGCTATCATGCAAATTATGCAAAAATGATGTCATGTAAAAATTAATTAAACATGCGATTAAAATAAATAAGTAAATAAATCTAAAGCTAAAATTACTATTAAACAAAGACCACAAAAAAAAACTATCAATGCATTACATATACCAAGATCAACATAAAACTGAGACCACTTGTAAAACTAAAATGAAAACCGAGAAAATGTTATGCCAAATATGCAACATCACATAAACTTAAAATAACATACCCACCTGACTAAAATGTGACATGCAAAAACCTTAAAGTCTAATATCAAAACAACGTAAATTAAACAAATCAATATTTAGGACGAAAATTAAATGAACATAAAATAAATAAACATAATTAGATACATGCAAACTTCTACCTAGGGACTAAAATGTAACATGCAAAAATTAACAATTTAATGTTTAAAACAGCAAAGATTAAATACAAGAATACTTAGGGCTAAAATTAGATGCGAGTAAAATAAAGAGACAAAACTATAAATATGCAAATGTTGATTTATGGACTAAAACGAACATGCAACCATTCAGAAGTTAAATGTCTAAAATAACAAAAACTAAATAACATAACATTTGGGACTGAAAATTAAAACGCATAAAATAAAGATGCAAAGTTGGAAACAGTAAAACATTCGGTTTGGGGACCAAAATGAAAACAAACACAAGAACTATAGGGATTAAACGAAATTCTAAGGACTCGGTGGCTAAAAGCTAATTAACCCTAAAATTTTAACATATAACCTAAATAACAAACCTAACCTAACTTTAAACTAAACACACACAGCCGCAATGCTCTCTTCTTCTCCTCTCTCTACGCCGATCTCTCTACCCTATGTGATAACCTTAAAGCCCTATACGGGCATGATTCACCTCCCCGACCACCGTGATAGTCACCAACGATGAAGCACCCGAACCGACCTAATGAGCCTAGACGCCTCCTTCCTCTCTAACCCTCAACCAAAACGAACGACCAATGCCGCCTATAGACTCCGACGAGGGCCTAAACCAGTAAGGTAAGCTAAGCTGAATCTTTCCTTTAACCTCTCTTCTGATTTTGCTTCTAGTCTAAACAAGATTTCAAAACGTATGAAACCAACATGACTTGGTGTTGAACCAATTTCAGACCATGAACTCGAGAGCTTCGGACCCTAAACACCAAAAAAAAATGAACCAAACGGGACAGAAACCCAACCTGGACG